TTTGTCATGTAAAATGGACCATAAAACATGTATCACACGACACTTTCATATTGTGACTTCCCAGTGACCTGACCTCTGTGACCTGACCTGGTATCAGTGACCTCAAATAGCAAAATATGTGTTTGAAGAACATTTCCCCATCGATGATTTTCAATGAAATGCATTTTACTCGATTTTACAACGCATTTTTTGAAATGCCTGTAAACGGTGAAAATTCGACCTTTGACCTGACCTGTGACGTCATCGGTTTGACCGAGGTCAATGAAATTGGGTCACAAGGTAGTTCCCCATTGGGGCTATCCAACGCCGTTTACCGCTTGTCGCTATGTTGCGTGGTTCTCGAGATCTTAGGGGGGGGGGCCAAAATGCCCCCCCCCCCCATCAGACCGCGTTGCTCGGCAGACCCCATCAGGGCGCGGGTTAATAGCTGGCTGAATTGTTTTCCACCGTGTTCACTGTGACTGAACGATGGTATCAGGTGGCCGATGGCCGATAACCATTGCAGTGGAAACCACGCAGCTATAATCCCGCACTTTTCTACATCACCAATCGTTGGGTGTCCATGATGTGCTGACGATGGCAACAAACAGAGTGCATATGCACACCAAACCCAACAATGGAATCATTAGTATGACAGGCATCGCCCAAGCCAAACAAATGTATCAGTCTGATAGTCATATTGTAATAGCTGGAAGGTTTAGACGGACCCATATTGGGCGGGAATCAGGGCCGAATGCTTGCGTTTGAAAACACATTCCGGCACAAAAGGCTTGACTATCGCCTGCACCCAGCGGTTCCTTGCCGAGTAATGAAAAATGTGATGCGCCGTAATCATACACCTCATTGATGCTAAAGCCGACTGGCACGTGTGACTGACGTCGGTAACACATTTTGTACAAATATGGCAGCCTTGAAAAACGAACGCTGGACATGCCCGTTGCAGGTAAATGGAGGCTATCTGGCAATGTGTTGACGTTAATCGGTCAAATCGCGTGCGTCAACCAGTCTAGCCACGTGCGTTCGGCCACTCAAAGGTCTGATTTTTCAGTGGGAATGAAAAGCAATGCACGTATAACGCATGCATGCGCTCTAGAAAAGAGTCCTTTTTGTTTGTTGTGAATTTATATGCCATAAAAAAGAAGCATGTTATCGACATCAGCAAGTTAGAATTGTATGTCATACAGCAAAAAGTTCCTCCATTACATGTTTAATTAGGTAGGTACATGACAAATAGCATCTCTCGCGGCTATCAAAATCTCAGAATTATAGGCTTTTACTGCTGTGGAAGGCCCAAAAAGGATCATTAAGAAATGGGCATTTATTTTCAAACATGTCGATTGCACATAAAACATGCAGAGCATCTTCATTCTCAGACTGATAAACTCGATTTCTATTGCGACTCATGAACAAATTGCTTATTTTTACCCGTTAACCCGTAATAGGATGTTTCGCAGAACTGCCCGGATTTTTCTTTCCTTTCAGAGCCAATGACAGAGTGAAGAAGGATTAGTAACTAATGCATTATTTATGCATAATATTCCCAAACCGGGAGAAACAGACATGCCGAACAATCCATTTCTTCAATAAGAACGTTGGTATGGTCCTTGCGCTAATGCAGTGGAGGGAACATACGTGACTCAACCAGAGTACAGAGAACAAGGCGATAGTCCATGTCAGCTGCCAAACCGAGCACACCAAGCCCTGCATTCTGCATTCGTCTGTAGCTGTGTTGAAAGCTAACAAAGGGAAAACGAAGAAATTCCCTGAGCTGTGGGTGGGTTAGTTATAGTGTGATGCACTGTAAGGTCCCCAAAGGTGACCACGGTATCACATATGACATCAGTTTGAAACTTATGTCATTGGGCAATGCGTGGAGCGATGGAAATGAAGCAGAAATGGTCATTGGTCAAGGAAGGGTGGGTCTGTGCCGTGGGAATGTGGAACGAGCGTGAACGAGTGTGAACTTTGAGACGTTTTGCAATTAGCACTAAGCTCTTTTCCTTTGCTTGCAGGTTAGCCTATGTTTCGGTCTGCACAATTACGTGGCTGGGAAGTAAAGCCACTACCGATCAATTGGCAAAATGTCCGGTTTTGGGTTCTTGCTACGCCCCTATGTTGTACAACACTCTGAGCTGCAAAGCAAATTATCAATAGATGATATTTAACCCGCGCCCTGATAGGGGGGCCATTTTGGCCCCCCTGTGGTTTTTCTTAAATAGCGTACCTTCCCGGGCATCAATTTGACACCTTCACACAAAATTTCAAGTCACAGGTCACCTTGGGTCAGGAGTTATTGAGTTCAAACTGAGGTCATGTTCGAGTAAAAATGAGCAAAAAACATGACATCTTGAAACGCTCACCAAATCCACAGCTAACAAGCAACTTTAAAGTTTTTATGTGGGTCAGATTTTCAAAACTTTGGGATTTGCATCCCCAAAAATAATAATAAAATTATTTTAGAAAACTAAAAAAAAAATCCAAAAACAATTTCGAATTTCGAAAAAAACGGAATATATGTGATAGTCTCTGCGCTCTTCGATATACATACCAAATTTTAGATCGATACCTCCTTTTTGGCCAAAATATAGCGAAAAACTTCAAAATTGGTGACATCAAATTTGTGAACTCAATTTTTAGCAATTCTAGACCACGTAGCGCAAAACAAAGACCTGAATTGAACTCCCCGTGACAAGCTGCATCGAATCAATACCCATTTTATGCAAAAATATCAACTTTGAAATTTGACCTCATTTGACCTGACCTTGACCTGACCTTGACCTGACCTTCACCAAAACATAATCTCCACTGACCCCAAGGGCTACCTGTCCCACATAATCGCATTTGACATATAAAATGGACCATAAAACATGCATCACATGATATTTTTATATTGTGACCCTCAGTGACCTGCAGTGACCTGACCTCTGTGACCTGACCTGGTATCAGTGACCTCAAATAGCGAAATATGTGTTTAACGAACATTTCCCCATCGATGCTTTTCAATGAAACGCATTTTACTCGATTTTACCACGCATTTCTTGAAATGCCTGTAAACGGTGAAAATTCGACCTTTGACCTGACCTGTGACGTCATCGGTTAGACCGAGGTCAATGAAATTGGGTCACAAGGTAGTTCCCCGTTGGGGCTATCCAACGACGTTTGCTGCTTGTCGCTATGTTGCGTGGTTCTCAAGATCTTAGGGGGGGGCCAAAATGCCCCCCCCCCATCAGACCGCGTGGCTCGGCAGACTCCATCAGGGCGCGGATTAACCCGCGCCCGGCTGGGGGTCCTGGATTTCCACGCCCTGCTAGGGAGGGTGTTTGAACACCCCCTTCTAACTCGGCTCCTGGGCCACGTAGCGATACGCGGAAGACGGCGTTCGAAAGAGCGTCAAAAATAATGACGAAATCACTTCGTTCAATTTTTCGGTCAGGTCAAAGGTCAGGTCACCAGAGGTCATTGAAGGCAGAATTTCGCCGATTTCCAGGTCGAATGTCGACAATTTCCAAGAAGCCAACGCATAACTCGGGAACCAATAGAGCTACAGCACCGCGGAAAAGCGCATTCGATAGCCCTATTAACGCCCTTTCTGAGTAATTCTCTCAGATTTGACCTAACGTCAACGGTTTTGCCTGCAGGGGGCAAAAACTGCAAAAATAGCCGATTTTTTTCGGAAACAGTTTTTTCTGCAATTACTTTTGACCCAAGCCTTGTTCGAGCTTACTTTTACCTGCATCGTGTTCCTCTCATCAAGACGCATTGAATGAACTAGGCGGGTTCACCTATAACTTGACCTTGAAAGGTCAACTTGAAAATTTGACCTCAGGTCAAGGTCATGACCTGACCGGAAAGGGTCATGTTGCATATCAGTCGATCCTTATCGTCGAGCTGAACACATCTAAGGCGTTTTCATCGTTCTAGCATGCCTCTATTAAAAGTTATTTGCGAAAAACTGTTAGATACCATTCATGACCTAAGATGACCTCAGTGGCATAAACAGGGGTCACGGACACCATTTTCATGTTCAGTGTCTCTAAACCACTTGTAATTCAGTGTTTGGGAGTGTTTATAATGTCTTTCGTCCGAAAGAGGCGCATTTCACTTTTCTCCCATTGACATATAATGGGGAGGTCGCAAAATTGACCTGACCGTAGGTCATCGATATCAAAATTCTGAGATATACATTTTGAAAATGTTATTGCTCTTAGCAATCGCTGAAAGTTTCAAAGCGATCGGTCACTCGGTGTAGCTATGGCAGATATTGAAAAAATTTATGAGGTGAGGTCACTTCAAGTGACCTGGTGACCTGACCTTGAATGACCTTGGTCTGAAATTTTCACAACATGTGTAGAATTGATGTATGATAAGGTGTACCAAAAACGGCGGCGTTTTTGAGATATTCGCGAAAAACCACAGGGGGGATGTTCAGCCCCCCCCCCCCCCCCCCAGCAGGGCGCGTGTTAAAGATGGTTAATGATTTAATGTAGCAATATGTCTTTGTCAGATAAAGGAATCCAGACTATGTTTTCCCCACTCCAGTGTGATAGGCTCCACGACAAAATCCTCGGCTCCCCGGCACCAAACTCCCCTACACGATCCGTCTCTGTGCTGTGTGCCGGTGTCGGAGCTGACCGTGTTTCACCCACAGCGTGTCACCGCGCAGCACTCTGTGGTCTCTGTCCCGTCTGCAGGGCGGAGGCGGCTGCAATGGCCTCTGCACCTCCCAGACCCAGCACGGCCTCCTGCCACGGGTTCTCACCGGCCGGTGCGCCGCGGCCGGTCTGAAATGTCCTCCTCTGCGCGAGCTGTTGGGTAACCGTCCGGCGCCCGCTGGGAAACTGGGGTGTGGCGCGGTAGGTCACCACTAGCGCCCATTGCGTCAGGACGTGAGACAGACAACGCACCAGCTCCCAGCCGCTCGACAATGTATTCATTATATTCATTATGGGGCGGAGTGAGTACAGTGGCGCTGAACTAGATTCAGAGCCACGCCCAATATAGCACCGACACAAGTCACACAACGTTCGCTCTGCAGCTATGCAAGAACCACTCGCACTAATACTTTACGGCTGAGGTGCGCGGCCTAGTTAAATTCACCCGCCGCGAAGAGATTCGCGCACGAAACTGAAGCTGACACTAGACAGATTCAGACTGGCAGCGCTTGTCCATCCCCACAGCTGTCTCTCAGGCAAGCAAAACAGGCACCCGAAGCACATGTAGACACATTCCTTCCGAGAGACTCCTCGAAGAATACGTGTGACCCTGCAAAAGAAAAAAGATTAAAATCAGGTAAGTAGTGACGTTTGATTGTTTTTGCTTTACAATGGTCCATAATTGTAGACAATGGGCATATTTGAGGTACTCAAAAAAAAATTGTGCTGAGATAAACTTCGCTGCGAGCGACACGTGAAGCACGTTACTTACCTTTACTCTTTTGGTTTCACATGCTACTTGGCTTCGTTCTTGCTACTTCTTTTTCCGCGACGTCAGTTTTCTACGCAATCTAGTTCATCACAAGACATCGATTTGGTCGTCCTGAAAAGGAGCACTTTGTCAGTTGTCGGCTTGATTATTCATATATCTTGTGGATCACACCATCATCCCAAGTATCACTACATAGTTTTAGGCCTATAACGAAACACGCTGTGATTTTTATCTTCCCAAGTAATTGGCCACGATCAAGTCTTCAAAACCAAACACCACCTGCCCAATACGCTGTCGGAACATCCTCGTCACAATCTGGTCTAATAAGATAATCACCATCCCCATGGAGTCGGCCCACACCACCGACTGGCCATCTGCGCCGCCCCAGGCCGCGGCCCGGGGCACCGCGCGGCTACCGGAGCTGCCCGGAGCCGCCCGGAACCGCCCGGGGCGGTCCGGAGTCCGGACATCTGGCGCGGCGGCCACCGGAGGCGGACGCGGCGGTTCTCAGTGGGCGGCAGCTGCGTCCACGGTGTTTTAGGCTGCCGTCTGACCGCCGGTGGGTGAGTGTCCGTTTGTCTGTGTGTGTTTGTATGTTTGTGTGTGTGTCTGTGGTCGATGCCACCCGGCGTCTACCGGACTTCGCCGGGATGCGATCGGACGCGTGTGGGAACTACCGACACCCACAGCTGGCCGTGGAAATAGAGCCGTCTTACTCGAGCCGTCCAATTTGGTAATGGCGTGAACGGATGTCGGGTACAATCCAGCTGGTGTGCACGTCTTAGGGCGTGTTTGGAACCCAAGCGGAGTTTGGATAAGGAAATGCCCTTGTGAGAGGGCTGGGAGAAAAGGTTTGGGACAATTTAAAGGGGATCATGTTCAGATGAATATGAAAATATATCGGCGGGCTGTTTAACTGACATAGGCATTGGGCAATGGGCAGGCAAACAAGTTCCCACCATTACAGCAGCCCCTGAGACGAGGAGCATGGTCGTGCCGATTCACCATGTCCTGTTATCAGATAGAGCTGAAGAATCCTACAAGAATACCCAAGCCCCTGTTGCAGTGACGGACCCTGTGCTCCAGTGGGCCATGGGCGGGCCGCCCAGTTCCATGGCGACGGGTCCCTGGAACGATCACGCTCCCAGAATTGTGTGTATGATCGCCGCGGCAGATCCGACTTTGAACTTCTGTTCCGTGACAACACACTGCACGGCAACTTACAGACGCTCTGCTGCGTCCCACACTGCAAGAAAAATAATCATCCAGCGGCCAATGAGTGGTATCGGCGGAATGTTAAATTCCAGAAAAAAAACTGACGGCTCAATGAGCACCCCAAAATCGACAGCTAAACGTTGTAAACTCCAAGAACGCAATTTTCGTACACTAGAAAGATGAAGCCAGTCACGCAGCTACCTATCCAGTCGCTGAGTGCTGCTTTCAAGGACGGACTGTTGGAACAGTTGAGACGAAGTGAAGCAGCAGGCCGCGAGACTCAAAGATAACAATCAGAGAAGACAGTCACGGGAAGGGGTGGCAGCTGGTGATAGCGGAACAGCAGTTTAGCGCGCGTATGTTTGTCGAAATGACAGCAGAATCAAACAATTCTGCAGAATCAGGGATGGGCGTACTGTGTTCAGATTTTTCACACAAAAAACTACTCTGACGTTTACACTGCACCGCTAGCAATGATATCGTGAAAAGTTTATTTGATTGTATCTTGACGTGCTGGTAATCATAACTAACGAGCACCGTCCCATGTTTATATAAATACATTTGAAAATTATCTTTCACATTTTAACCGTGTGTTTGATTAGCATTTTCCCACAACAAAATTGAAAGGAAAATGTGTTATATGCTTTCAAATTAGTATGAAACGATACTAAAAACTATGCGTTTCAACTTATCGATGCTTTATCGCTGATGACCTAACCGGAAACCGTTTTAGCCATCTTGAAGGTCAATGTGGAGGGCTCAGCCCGTCGCTGGATCAAGTGACAAATCAATTATCAACTCTCAGCTCTGAAATGGTAGGGCCCTGCTGCAGAGGTGTTGATCAGTTAAGTGGGAACTAAAAACATCAAAAGAGACGGCTTAAGAGCTCTCTTTTAAAACTTCCCACACGACCGTAGCCAAGTTCTCAGAACTGTCGATGCATGTTTGACACAAATGAAATATTTACGGCCCCATTACTCGAAGCTTTGATTACCGTTGCAATCTGTGGGGTTACAAAAGGTCCGTCCTAGCAGTGAGCAGGCATTGTTGGCGCCTTCTTGCTGCACGCAGCTCTCATACATTCATTATCTGTAACGACGCTACAGACAAGCTGCCGGCATGTCAATTAGAACCTCTGAATGGCGAGGTGAGTCTATCAAAACCAACGACGATGTTGTGACCTAGCCCAGGTCGAACTGCAGCAAAAATATAGCCCCAAAGCTACATTCCCATCATGTTGACACCCACTCTCGACACCAAGTGCATCTTACCCATGCCTAAGATTCTTACATCTATGTATATCCATGCCAGGGTGATAAGTGACCGAGTGCGTATGTGCATGTGTACTGTAGTGCCTACGCACAATTATGTATCGGCTAGAAGCAATGCCATTTTTCGGGCATGCCCGCCCCAAACATCCGAAGAATAACTGCACCGGGAGCGTTCATCTGTGCCGGTCATGCCGAGTGGAACAGAGGCGAAACAGAGATGGGAGCCATGGGTGAAACTTTGACATTACCATTGGGGTCTCAAACGTCCAAGGGGGCCTCCATTTAGTGGGGGCCTCCAAGCAAGTAGGGGCCTCCAATTGCGGAAGCGGTAATTAACGAACCACTCCAGGGCCTCCTCTAAGACATTTTCACTGGGGGACCAGAGGCTCAGAAGCCAAACCTAGGGTACCCCCAAATCCAGTTTTCTCATCGGATTTAGGCTACTTATTTTTCGTCACAGCTCGGATGCCATGATTTAATTTTTTTCTGAATATTGATAAAGAAATGGTAGGTCACCTGACCCTACTGGTGGATCCAGGCCAGCAGGGTGACATTGTATAGTAAATATCCCCCGTGGCGTCCGAAATCGACGAAAATTTCTGGCTTTTTCACTTTTGACAATAAAACACAATGCCTTTAGGTATTATAAAAAAAGAATTTAACGGCACAGCATTGTGCAAAGAATCTAGCCGACCCCAGAAAGTGTGAGGGTTAACCTTCGGCCGCACCTGGGGGGGGGGGGGGATTGCCACCCCCAAGTTAGTTTTTCTGCTCTACACTGAACATTTTTAAAGCTAGAAACCTGATTTTTTTGTATAGCTGCTTTTCTATCTTTTCTCATCGTCCATTAAAAATTTTAAGTTTCTGTGGCTTTTGGGTTTGGAGATATGACCTTGTTCTTCAGGTCATGTCATGCCCTAAATGACACGAATACCCAATATCTTGCGTTGGCTATGGGCCTTGTGAGCTTTTGACACCCTGATTTCGGCTTTTTTGCCAGTCTTACCTCCCACCTATCATTGAACATGTTGTTCTGCGATTTACAGATGTCAGGGTCAGGGTCAAGGTCAACGTAGGTCATCTAAAATTATTGCGCTTTAGGCAAGCTGAATTTACTTTTTGTGAAGTTTCTTTGACTGCATGTTTAGTAAAAGCTTCTCAGTTCATGATCTAATGTAATAGGGACACACAAACCAATCTGTGCACACATCAGTACATACACAGACATACACAGACTAACACATATCATTGACCTTGACCTAACTTGACGTGAAATGACCACAGCCAGCAAATTAGTCGGATAGTGTGACAAAGAGCTGTTCTAGCTGGCTTGGCACTAATACGGCAGCGTCATCGGTATATGATGGGTTGGCCCGCTGCTTGTGTAGGTATCTTATTCGACATCACCACAGTTTTTTCTTACAAGATTTTAAGCTTCGCGGTCAAGAGCAACATGGGTGGAGCTTTTCCAGGGAAGTTGGTCGGGCAAAAAGTCGTCAAACCCACAATGTCCGATTATTAAGTTGAATGAAATGCCACACTGAATCAATTCCTATCATTACAGACATATTATTTTGCATTAAACAGACATTACAAAGCTCTTCAATGCGAAAAAAGATTAATTTGTAAAGCAGCAAAGTCTTAGAAATCACCTAAAGTTGGTGGGGCAAAACGCTCATTGGTGGGGCAAAATACAAAGTTGGTGGGGCGGCTGGGGCAGCCGCCCCACCAACTGTATAGGAAGCTCCGCCCCTGAAGAGCAGCAGATTCTTTGGGGAGAGACGAATCCAATGATGCCAATTTTACCCCATCAGGTCAGTCATTGACCTTCCAGGTCAGGTCAAACTAAAGAATGTTGCTGTTTGGGGTCACCGTTGCCCGTTGGAATATCACGTGCGCTGCTCATCATATACCGATGACGCTGCCGTATTGTGGTGCCAAGCCAGCTAGAACCTCTTTGTCACACTATCCGACTAGGTTTTTGCTGGCTGTGGTCATTTCAGGTCAAGTTAGGTCAAGGTCAATGACATGTGTTTGTATGTCTGTGTGTGTCTGTGTGTATACTGATGTGTGCACTGATTGTGAATGTGTCCATATTACATGAGATCATGAACTGAAAAGCTTTTACCAAAAATACAGTCAAAGAAACTTCACGAAAGTAAATTCAGCTTGCCCTAAAACGCAATATTTTTAGACGACCTAGGTTGACCTTGACCCTGACCCTGGCATCTCTACATCATCGAACAACATGTTCCATGATAGGTGGGAGGTAAGACTGGCAAAAAAGGCCGAAATCAATGTGTCAAAATCTCACAAGACCCATAGCCAACGCAAGATATTGGGTATTTGTCATTTGGGTTATGACATTACCTGAAGAATAAGGTCATATCTCCGAAACCAAAAACCACAGAAACTTGAAATTTTCAGTGGACGCTAAGAAAGGATAGAGAAGCAGCTATACGAAACATCCGACTTCTAGCAATCAAAATGTTGAGTGCAGAGCAGAAAAAACTACCGGGGGGTGGCAACCACTGCCCCCCCCCCATCTGCGGGCGAGGATTAAATAATTTGAATATCAGGAAAATTAATTTATTCAAACAGGTATTCCAACAGAGTCCCGCTTTT